ATTTAAAGATTTTTGCATGAACATGATCAATGCATTCAAGAATAGTTTACTTTAAACACAGTTCACTACCATTATAAACTTTTGTTTATCTTAGATTTTCGAGAAAATGTGTTTCTCTTTTTCTTAGCAAGTCTTTCTTCAGTTACAATTGATATTATTTAATATGCTTTAAATATAATCTTTAATTCATTTTGGAACATTTTTTTCTCATTCATACCCAGTTTTACAATTCATATTTATATTATGTTATGATTACAACTTGTATTTGTATTAGTTTTCATAATAAACTCAGCAAATTGAAATTATTAATTACAACCCCATTAATATGTTATAACGTTTTATTAAATATTTTCTATAACATTAAAAAAAATCAAACTTTTAGAACGCAAAGAGAACCAAATACATGATTCGAGTAGCGGCTTGGCCGAGAGGCTAATGCGCCGGTCTAGTAATCCAGAAATTGCTTGCAGCCTGCACAAACGTCGTCAAGGGCCATGAGCAAAACAATGTACACTCATTTTTTATAGAAATGGTTGGTTTTAGGAACGGTTTCGAGATTTTTTTAATAGGCTAATAGCTTCCAACACAATCGAACTAAAATATTTTTGTATAAGCTTAACTTAATGCATGTATTACATAAATTTGAACACTGCATTTAATTAAGTAAGAAGAGGTTTGATATATCTCAAAACGTGATATATATTACAGATTTGGATTTTTGAACCTGTTTTAATCATTTTCATTGCATTAAACATAAGTTGTTTTTTATGAGACTGCACACAAGTTACAGTTTTTGTCCAAATAAAGGTAATGCAATATAATTCTGAAATGATATTTTTTAAATTAAATACCATGAGTGTCAGAATGCATATCTACAAAATATATTGATTAAAACAGAGAAGGCCATAAATGTTAGCACGATAGGAGTACACAAATTTCCTTGACTCTCTAGACTGAATGTGATAATACTGTTTGCCTATCTCTCTAGAATAAAGCCAGGAAGGATTGTGTGTTTTTCACATAACCAAAAATAATAAAGAAAAAACACAGGGGGATAGTAATAAGTCGATAATCTTTTGTTATATTTTTTTTTTTACAATTAATAGTAGTGACAAAAATTAACAGAATACTTATTTGCAGTAGCATATCTATATTTGTATTCACCGTTTTTTAATGGTCTAACGGAATTACGGAAACATTTTTATTTATATTAAGGTACTAGGTAAATGTATTTGAGTCGATTCCTAAAAAAAATAAGTTATTATTTCGAGACGTCCCCTCCATTATCGATCATTCAGTCAAGGGATGTTTTAGCAAATATTTTTCCACATTAAGGTCTTCCCTCCATCTTCCCCAACCTCTCCACCATTGGTATGAAGTGAATAGTTAACTATATTGTTTCAACTTGTCACACATGTTTTGCATGATAGTTATTCATATGTATGTATGCCGTTTTATGTTATCGCTTTGATGTTACCCACCATTGTGTGGAACCTTCATTATTTGAAAATGTTTATTTAGCTATGCATATTTTACTTTCGTCATTTAAAATAAAATGATTTTTTCACAATAATGTGTTAAGTATTATATTTACCCTCTTACATATAAAATTCACATTGGAAATGTTTTTTTTTTGGTACTGGGAGGAAAGATTCAAATGTTTTATGATAAAGTCTCTGTTTTAGATAAGAATTGTTGTTTTATTTTACTCACAGCGTATATTAGTAGCCAATGTATTTTTAACAAAGGCCAGCGCTTTATAGGCTATGAAAATATTTTTGTATTCTGAATAGATCAATTGGATTGAATTTGAATTGACTTGAACTCCTTCAATTAATCTTTTTATAGTACAAAGATAGGGTTAAATGTTAATTCAATTATAAAGCAACCAGGGAAATTGAGCCTTTCGTACATATTGTTAAAAAATTCTTAGATTGCTTAAACAGATAACGAATTTGGCAAAAGAAAAGTAAAAGTAAGCATGTATTCATACATACCTCATTTATCATCCGTAACTAATAGCGATAATTATCTAATGCTAGTGTTGGTTAGCATGGCTGTATAGGATTCGAAAAGAAAGCTTAATATCGCGAATAATGTAGAGTATTTTCATTCAGAATTACGTTTGAAAAAAAATGGGTATCTAAACTATCAGGTACTAGTAAATAAAACAATTTATTTGAAAATGCACGTAGTAAATATGGCTTGATGTAACAAAAGATGATGAAAGATTAAGTTAGAAAATATGATTTTGTTTGAAGGTTTTTGTTTTTATTTATTTATTTATTTATTTATTTATTAAATCTAAAATGTAAATGATATACGAGTATTTATGTGTATATACATGTCAGGAATCAATGTATATTTTTCATTTTTTACCATCTATTTAGTACAAAATCAGAATATAGAATAGTAAAATTAGTAAAATAAATAAAATTACAGTACAAAAGATGAAGTACGTTTATGATTAGGACACAAAATTCATTGAGGAATTCGCATAATACAACTGCTATCATTCTAGATGTATGAACGTAGCATTTCAGTAAAAGAACGTTCTGGGACGTATGGATCAATACAAATGATCTGGTTTCAATTATTTCATCCATTATTTATCATGCATTTGTACTCTGAATTCTCGAGGGTGTTTAAACATCATTGGCATTCAATAAAAACAGTATCTCAGTATTGTATCGACATTGTAAGAAGATAACAAACTTGTCGTGCTTTTGAAGAATTGCATTCAATTACTGTATTTTGTGCGCGGAATGTTTTGCTTTTCAGTAAGTGGTAAGCTAACAAATGTAAAACGGGAAGAACAGTAATTTAAAAGAAGAATAAATACAAAGCAATTTTATTGAACACACTCTAAAAGAAAGCAATATAGCATCTTGATTAATTACCAAATAAACATAAATAGACCCCCCCCCCCCCCAAAAAAAAAGGATAAATGAATAAACATAATTGTGTTAATATCTTTACGCCTTTAATTTTTGATATTGCATAGAGTAATGAATAATTAATGTTTCTAAAATTCATGTATCTACAAAAAGGACATGACAATATTTATCACATTAAAAAATATAGAAGATGAGCACTGTGCACGTTAAGTAAAGTGATATGCTAGTTAAAGAGTTAAAGAATGACTGGTTTGGGTTTACAGTGATTTATCACTATATTAATACCAACGTCGACTTCCCTTAATTCTCTCACAAGAAATAGGTTACATAGACAAAGGTTACATAGGTTGTTTTCATCTCGTCAGAAAAATAGGTATATTAATTACTTTTGCAGTTAGCAATTTGACTCATCAAAATAGGTTTTATTTTGTTTACGTATTTGGCAGCTGTTCAAATAAATACGTTAGCAGACATCTGCTCAACGCCCATTATATTTACATATTTATCCCGCTTATATATAGCTTTTTTTAGCAGTCAAAAGTTTTTTTTTTGTTTTTTCTTTTTTTGTTTGTTCGTTTTTTTTTGTTTTTTTTTTAATTTTTCATTACATGGTCCTAAATATTAAAATTTAACAAGAATTTTCATTAGTATTAGTCAAACTAACAAAACATTCATGTTTCACTTGAAATTCAATCTTATAACATCAGGTTTTCCCTTTATATTTTGCAACCATTAACACCAGTCATACTTTACTCCTCAGCTGTCATTATAAACAAATTGAATTATTATATTGTAATCATGTTAGGTTATTTTATGAATGGAGCTTCTGTGTTGCTATGGCTTATTACTATTTATAGAAACATGAATGTTAATGTATTTAAGTGAACATTTTGAGCTTTGAACAGTAATACTGTAAATGTTATGACATTAAGTCTTACCGTATAACACCAATTAGATCAGCTAGACATAAAATAAGTATAATAAGTCACACCCTTCACAATATTCCCGGCATCAAGTGCATTATTATACGATATATGGTCAATGCTTGCACGCCATATGACGTTATACATAACGTCAATAAATCAAATGACGTCAGGAAACTTACTTCTACGCTTTATGTAGTTCAATATCGTTTTATCTATTCTTTTTTATTAGCATGTTAGAATGGAAATTGATATTAATTTTTATTGCATGATTATATAATAATGCACGGTTTACCGTACCAATGCTTTGAAATTGATCACTCCGTGATATAATTCCTACGCATTTGAACTCGAACTGTGCATTATTCTACAATAATGCACTTCAAATTCATATTTATTTCCTAACTGAATTTTGCATAAGCTGTTTTTTTTTAAAGATTTGAAAGTCTTTTAACCTAGTCTGAGCCTTATATCACTTTTAAGGAAATTTTTAACATAAGAACCGATGAGAAATGGTCGCATGGCTAAATTCGGTTACCGCCAGCAACGCTAAATATCCGTTTTGTCAGGAATATGTTTGATACGTGAACTTGCACTTTCCAGTACCGTCCATGAACAGGCTCAATCAAACCGAGCCTGCAACATTTTCATTTTGCCGTGCTGGGCTTTCTTTAGGGATTCTATATTTATCTATTTTACTATTACCACACGATAAGCACTGATTGTTAAAACAGTGTTAATGTTTGAATTTGAAAAGAAATAGATATCACATCTTGTGTTAGTAACAAACACTCAAAAAAATATAAAAATTCTATCAGTTTTTGCATTTGAGGAAAAGTAAAAAATCATACTCAAATGTAATACAATTTCTTTCAATTTAGCGGGAAAAAAACTTTTGTCTATCGAAGAAAGTCGTCAATTTTTTTTCTTCAAATTTTTCATTCGTTTAAGTAGGGTTTTGAACATTAGGAGTTTGGAAAGAGCCCTCTTTGATTAATTTTAGATATTTACATAAATTCTGCAGATAAAACTTTCAGTAGTAAATGAAATTCATACAAAAGATCGGTCTGAAAAATGTTTCAGATAAAGCTTTCGTAAAATGGACAAGATAAATATTATTACAATACTTCAACGTAAGGTATGTATGAGAAACAAATGCTACTGAATTAGTTTAATTCCAAACATGAATATATACTTTAATATCATTCAGATTACTATTATAAAATGTATAATAAACTGTATAGGAATAGTTTCGGACAATAGATGAGTATTTGGTATAATAGATCAATAAAGCGGCGGCACTCAGTGTTCCTTTGAGAACAACTCTATGATATTTACAAATGAAATACCATACAGCCTGTTCTGTTGGAGCTAGTATTTTTCCTTCTCACTGTGATGTGCTACCAGGAATATTAGGAATTGGATAAAAAGCAAAAACAATTTTTTTCTGAAGGTAAGATGACACATCTTAATTAATTGATTTAAATGATAAAATAAAATTAAGCAAAACAGATTTACACTTTTTATAATCAAAGACTGGTATTCTTGAATAAGTTTAAATATCTATAAATAGAGGCACAATAGCATGGAACTTAAGAAAACGTATAGACTTTTTAACATTTTTGTGTATAATTGTAAATGAATTACACTAATTGAACAACAATATTATAGTTTATATAATTATTCGCTCGTTTCCTTTTTTTAAATTAAAGATTATAAATGTTGTGTTTTATTTTATTTCAAAATATACTGAAATTTAAAATGATTTACAAATTATTACAATTTTAATCTCACTGTACGAACTTATGTCACGTTATATTATCATGTACAATACTAAACTTAGATTAAAAGGCAAAACATTAAATAAGTTTTAAAACAACAACAAAGAATAGAAAAGAAACGTAAGAAAAGAATGCAAATTTATAAAAATGTACGTTTTGTTAAAGATATAAAGAGCCTGCTTATTTAATATTTATATCCAATACCAATAGTTTGATGCATAAATAACGTTGTCTTATCTTTCAAAATAAAGTAACATTTGAACGGAAAATTGGAGAAGGTAATTGTATCAGTTAATGTATTTTGCTAAATATAAATTAATATAATTGTAAACATTTTTATTAGATATAAGTCGCTCAAGCATTACATCTTTTAGACATATCGCTGTTTTCAATAATGACTTGATAAAAAAATATAAATTTAAAGACACATTGTTTAGGCAAATAAGTTTTAATATGACAAAATATCATTCAATATAAGCAAGTATGTCAGCATTTTCAAGTAACACACTATCTGTTACGCTGCAATATGTTTTATATTAGTTGTGTATTCGAACGCATACTCATAAATGTCAGGTAGCATTTTCTATATTTTATAATGCATGCAACGAACGCATAGCAAAACTAATATATTTATCTGTTTGTAATCATAATCCTGACAGTTACATTATTTACGTCGTTCTATATCATTTGGCAAAATGTAAAGCAAATGTATGCATATTTAAGGAGGCTCATTCCGTTTGTTGAAACACATTGAAATGTAAATGAGATAAAATTTGAAATTACTTGTTTTCGAAAAAATTAGTTTTTATATCATAATAAACGGTTGTTTTGTCGTATGTTAATCATTCTTTAACATACGAACATGTGTATATACTAGGATTTGCTATTGTTATTTGCTAAGTTACATGCAATGGGAATAACCGCTTTTCTTTATAATGCTATGTATCTTTTAATATAACTGTAACAAATCATATTTTTCAAATTAGTTTGCTTTACTTTCTGTTGTTTTATCAGTTGATATTGACGACATATTTTCTAGTGCAACAATGGTCAACAAAACTTTCAAATTCGATTAAATATAGAAGAGAATGTAATTATATACACTGAAGTAACATTATCTATTATCGGAGCTTTAAAATAAACAAGATTTGATTACGATTATTTATAATATGCGGTGCATGTAGCATTTACTGTAATTTTAAGTAATTACATTTTAACAAACTTTGCCTGTAATTTTTTGAAGCATTTGAAACAGTTGCCGTGTATTCGGACATTTTCTGAATAAGCCGTCATTTGGAATACATTCGGTGCAACTTTAACTGAAACAGTTTCACCGTTATAAATCTATCGTAAAACTTAAATTTTCTCTTTAAAACAAAGTTTAAATGATAATTCAATATCTTGAAATAATGTAATATATGAATTTGTATATAAACATTACGATACAAATGATTTTGTATCAGATCATTGCAAATTGTACATTATCTCCATCTAGTAATATAAATTATTTGTACACAAAGTGTAAGTCTACAAAGCTTTGTTCCCTCAATATCACGATTGTAATTGTGGCCATTGCCATAATACTGACTTCTTTAAAATTTAGGTATTGACACATGATACACAATTTCATTTAAAATAAATGGATGAAAGTTGACATTTATAGAACGTTAATTGCAAGAATATGTATAAATGTTTTCTTTTTATTTACAGAGAATGTGGTAAGATGAAATCAGTCATGCAATACATTGTTGCTTGGCTCTTTATTCTACCATGCATATTATTAGATAAAGGTGCGTTGTCAATTGCATGTGAGGGACTTCAGTCATGTGACTGCAGGAGGGAACGTGATTGGCTTCAAGACGGTTCTGACAGCTATGGCGTTATTGAATGTGAAGGAGATATGGATATGACGTCATTTAACTTCAGTTGGTATAGTAAGAAAACTGACCTTCAGGAAATTATTTTTACAAATACTAGCATTCGTAGCATTGGCAAAAACGTATTCAATGGAATGAAGCAGATCAAGACACTTAAAATTCAAAACCAAACCATAAAAATACACGCCGATGCATTTGCTCCTCTAGGAGACAACCTGGAGCACGTTTCATTGATAAATATTAACATCAGCCGTGACTGGAAACTGGATTATCTTAAACATCTAGAAAATCTTGAGACGCTTTATCTAGACAAAAACGGACAATATCCTGAACACTTTCCGAAACATGTATTTAGAAATATAAGTTTGACATCTCTTAAACATTTATCTTTGCGATATTGTAAAATAGCAATTATGACCAGGGAAGGTTTAGAAGGACTGCCTAATTTGGAAGTTTTAGATTTGTCTCATAACTATCTTCCGACTGTCCCAGACGCCATTATACAGCTGAGAAAACTGCGAAAGCTTAATTTGTCTTTCAACAAAAGGTTGATCTATGTTCATGATTATGCCTTTAAACCATTGAAATATCTTGAGGAAATTGACATTAGTAATACTGACCTCAGCACTATATCGGAATTTGCTTTCTATGGTTTGGAAAATAGCTTGACCAATTTACATTTGCATCATGCTCTATTACAAGATGGTCATTTTCATTCGATGAAGGAGCTTAAGCGGTTGAAATTTATTGATATTTCTTACAATAGAATTGTAGAAATACATAACACGTCATTTGAGGGGTTTGTTGCACTTGACGAGTTAGATATAAGTGGACAGTCTGATATAAAAGATGGTGTTCCGTACAAACTGGGATTCATCGATTCCGTTTTTAAAGGAGTCGAGAGGAAGCTGAAAATCCTTCATATAAGAGACCTTGGGATGGATTCATCCCTTCCACTTGGTGCTTTGAAGTCGCTTCAACGCTTAGAAACCTTAGACGCATCAATGAATAAATTTACCGAAATATATGAGGAGTTCTTTTATGGTATTAAAGCAAAAAATATATATCTAACAGACATGGAAATTAGCAGCATTTCAAATTTTGCTTTTGAAAATTTGCGACCAGGTGTTAGCATATATTTTGATAGAAACAATGTTACAAATATCTCTTTTGTATTAGACACTCCAATTTGTCTTTTCAAGAAACTTTCGTTAACAGGAAATCCAATCACGTGTGAATGTGATGTTATAGAAATTGCAGCAACAAATCGTGTTTCTGACATTGTTGGTACTTGCGCTGACAATTTTTACAGGGGAGAAAATATCAAAACTATACATGAGATGGATATAGCAAAAGTCAACTGTGATACGAAAGGATATAAGAAAATTACCCATTGCTCATATATTAACAGTGCAGCTTGTACCTTAATTAATTTATATCTGTGTGTGACATATACCATGTTTTCTATGTTTTATCTTTTTCTTTGATTTTCATTTGTATTGCTATTTTGCTAGATCATGTTTATTACATAATTCATTCTTTATTAAATTTAGTAAAACATCAAATTCTTCTAGTAAATTCATTAGCGATATGTGTGCGGTTTTCTTCAAACGGATCCATCCCAGTTTGCAATAAACATCAGAATTACATTTAGATTAAAATCATAAAGCCGACTGAAACAATATCCAGAAGGTTATGATAGTCATCTTTTTCGCATACGAGATAAAAGTTTGATCCGTTTGTTTTCTAATTTTGAAGGTTTGTTATGAATAATATCTCAATTAAAAGACGGGGTCACTTAAACATTTTTCAATTGTTATTTTCTGCTCTGGCTGGTAAACATTTTGTTAACTAGCCTAGTGTTATCATGAGTGTGTACCCACAACATGTTATCATTTTCCAATAATGTTTTGCGGAGCACCATGTTAGAACTTACTAATAAATGATGAAACAGAAGTAACTCATGCGTGAAATTAAACGTGATTTTATTTGGTACAGTTATGAGTTTTCTATAATTGTGCAAATATAACGCAATTTATTAAAGTTATATAAAAAAGAAACACGAACAAGGTATGTAATAGTATCACGATATAAGAACAATGAATATGCTGTTAAATGTTTTTTTTCTTCCATTACCAAACAGGTAATTCACAAAAATACATAATAGTAAAATGTATACATCTTAATCCAAAGAACAAATTTCAGAGATTATCACGGCTTCTTGGAGCTGATTTCCCCATCAGAAAGATCAAGTAAATCAAAGAATGGCTCGAAGTGATGATTTGTTCTGTCACTCAAACTAGATACAAATGTTCGGATGGTATTAGATGTCTGATTAAAACATGATTTATTGCCAAATCAACAGAATAAGCAAACAAAACCAATGCGAAATATTATTACATCGCAATATAATAATAGGCGTAAACAGTTTAAGAGGATGCCAAATCAAATTGGCTTGCAGATTTATGGTATCATATTTTCAATTAATGTGTCAAAAACACCAGAATACTAAATATATATTTGTTATAGTACTAACACCTTTATACTTATTTGTCATTTGTTAAAAATGTGAATCCCAACTAAACTTATGCACTTACTTACTTTATCATTTATTTTTAAGCATTCAGGCTCAATGATAAAACATAGACTTCACAAAGTCGGACGTAAAACAACGCGTCAATTACAGAATTATAAATATATCCCATTTATAGTATTCAGAAAGAATAAGCAGTAGAACAATCAAATATCAAAGCAATCATGCAGCAGAGGACTTTCATATCGTATAAAATATCAATAGCACTGTATAATTAGTAGAGACTGCCGTTTTAATCCCAGCAATATAAGAATAATTTCCATCATCGTACTTTTGTCTATTCAGAGGACTTTATATCGTCTAGTTGATTCATAATTGTCATACATTTGCTAAAATGCATTCAAATCTTTTGATTAATTACAAGAAACAAAATTAAAAGAAAAGAAAAAAAGTTCGAAATATTTTTATTTTTATTGGTATTTAAGTTCACAGTTTTATCTTTTCCGTTCTGAAAGACTTGTCTCCTCTTGAAACGTTTTATGGTTAATGCATTAAATGATCTTTCCTACATGCTGTCCTTGGTTTGATCCTCGAGTGAGGCGAAATTGTCTATGGGAATTAATCTCGGACATTGAGTCTAACAGTCATTAGTCTGTTTCTACTGATTAAAAAATAATGTGGGATAAGTAGGCTGTCATTTGCAGAAAAAATGGTTACTAATAGTTCTCTGTCCTGAAAAACTTGTTATGTTGATCAACAGCTGATATGTATTTGACACAAATTTGTTAGAATCGGTGTAAAACTCAGATAACAAGCGTACAATATGATTTGAAAATATGTTATCAACTTAAAGTATTTCAAAGCATAATATTTTTGTAGTCATATTTAAGCTATACACACCAGTATTTGTCTTCTGCACAAAACATTTATGCAGTTTTACAAGTGGTAAAAATCCTGTCTTCAATATGAAAGTTCAAACATTGACTAATCACTTTTGTAAGGATCCTTTTAAGATCAGCCGGAAACGTTCCGAAACAACGTTACATATGGACATAAATTAAAAGATATTTTCTTGCAATTTAACTATAACATGTAAAATGAAGTACAAAATTATTGTAAAACCAAAAAGTAAAAGATACATCTCTAAACTGAAGAAAGTAATGCACATACAATGAATTGACTTGAAACAATTAAGTTAAAAATCGATAAAGATTGGAAAATTATAAACGATGATGTTTTCTCATCCTTGAAAAAAAACCAACATTTTCTTCTTTGTTTCTGGTAATTGGTAATTGTTTAAATGATTTGGTCTATAATGGAAAGTCTGTTATTCTATGAATTACATAAATTGCATGTTGATAGTTGTTAGTATTACATGTGATAATAAACCACATGATAATTGTTCGTGAATGCTGTTGGTAATTGTGAGATATATAATCTGTCATACAATATCTTTATACAGTAGCTAATACATTGTTCTGTAGCCAGATACTATTTTTCATCACGAAATGTCCAATTGAACCACTTTTGAAAAAAAATGTTTTACAAGAAAGTCCAAATGATACATTGATTTTCTTCCATTAATTGAAAAAATGTTGCTTATGAGACATGCTATTTACCAATAAATAGTCCATCAACAGAACAATGTAAATATCTAAAGGGAATGGACAAAATGTGATGCAACATCTAACTTAATGTCTGATGAAGCGAAAATGTGATATTTATCCGACAATATTTGTTTGTTTGTTTTGCCAGTTGAAAATGCAACTTCACATGAAGTTTAAGGCGTTTGCCTTATCTATTGTAATCTGTCAAATAAAAAAGATGAAATTAATGATGAGGTTTACATTCCCTTCAGTAATCACTCGTTACTAGATCAAATGTTTCGCAGCTTTTAACTTTGTACTGTTTACACTAATGGCTAATTGAATTTAATCATACTACTTTTTATAATAGATAAATATCTCAATTTATAGCATTTTACTCCATCATACTAAAATTTTCTTTATTCAGTACCAAGTTTAATAAAACCTTTGCTTTATTTGCTCTATTCTTGTTATTGCTGTTTTTTTGGGTTTTTTTTGGAAAATGTCTTTATGTGTCTTACTAAATGTTAAAATAACCAGGAAATACCACTTATCGCTATCGAACATTATTCCCTAGATGTTGTATTCTAGTTATCATAAATACAAGCTCTTTATGTGTTTATATTTATCTCTTATAGTTATCCTTTAGGAGATGTAAAATAAAACCGATAAAGGCATGCCGGTTTCATTCATGCCTTTGTGCAAAATAAAATAGAGGAGAGACGCCTCTGTCATTATACATAACATGCAGATGTTATTAAATTGAATGAGAATGGATAAACATTTGGTTTACAATTAAAACACTTCAAACGATATCTTTTCTACTTAGCTATCAATTTTCTTGATATCATATTTCTATATTCACTCCATCAGACAACTATACGACTATACCACCAGCAAAGCTATTCAAAAAGTGTCTTCTTACGTCTGTAAGAAGACACTTTTAAATAATTGTTACTTTCCACGTGGATTTAATACAGGTGAAATATAAGGTGTCCTGCTTTAACCAGTTGAAGAACATCTATTGACATGCTATATTTTTTCTAAAGTCCACATTTCTGTATTTTTATAGATAAAGTAGCAATATTTTACATTCTCGCAAAACAACTGTTCGCGTCATTCAACGCCATTCAACGTTGAATTTGTCCCATGCTTATACTTTCTCATACTTTAATCCTCGTGCGAATCAAATAAAAATCCTTGATAAATAACCTTAATTTTCGATGTTTCTTTCGAGAACTGTAACCTGTTTACAGTACTAGTGTCTTCGAAAGAGAATGTTAAATTTCGCTACTTTTCTATAAATAAGAGCCAGTGTGCTCGACTATTCCCAGTGCTTGATAGTAAAACAGGAGCCTGACCAATGCAGAATCGTTCAAAGGGGCCATAGTTCTGTCAAAATTCAAAATTACAATAGCTCTCCATATTTTTCGAAAAGTCCAGCGTAAACAAAATATTTAGTCCATCTTAAAACGTAACAGGCGATATTTTAACTGCCTCAAGCAGGATACCACAGAAACCGACGGAAAGTTGTAGCGAACTTGATAGCACAACTCATGTGTAAATTCAGTTCATCGAGAAATGAATCAAATAAATTGGATGGCCATTTCCTTGAACATAGTCACTGTTGACTTTAGCATTGACGAAACTAACAGTTGTTCGTTTGATGATACTAAGACTCTATTTTTGTAGATCGTCTGACATTCTATAAAAAAACAACATTAACATGACATTTACGGTCCGTGCCCCCCAACTGCATAAAATCATTAAAATCATCGGCCATATACAGCTGACCAGTGCGTTAAGCTAAGCATATGAATAAGGAAACGTTATCCACATAACATTGACGTAAAACAAGTTCAGAGATGGTTTCATTGTCATAACTGATCTCGCCAATTTCACATTGTGTACCATGAATGAAAGTGAATTATGTCCGATTGTAATAAGTGCACGAACATTCCGTGCGAACACAATTTACCTTCACCTTTCACTGCCCAAAGCTTAAAGGACATGCAAATATTTTCTATAGTTTTATATTTACAAGGTGTACATACATTTAATTTCAATTAGATTTATTTATAATAAAATATGTTTTTTAATTTATCTGTTCTTTACACTTAAACGTCGTATTAGTCAGATACAGTTACTCGTATTTTTTTCAAAATTGTCTTCTTACAGACGTGAAGAAGACAGTTTGCTAATACAAGCAACAATTTATCCTCGGCTTCGCCTCGGACAATTTGTTGTTTATCCTAGCAAACTGTCTTCTTACGTCTGTAAGAAAACACTTTTGAAGAAAAATCTAATAATAATCCTTTAATGTAAATGCGGATGTTATTAAATTCAAAATTTCACAATTTTATATTTAAATATTGAATGCTGCTTAATTTGTTTCCAGAGGACGTGAACGGAATCTTGCAATTATCAATACCGTCGTTAATAAACAAACAGGCTCAATCAAACAAAGACATTTCAAATTTACTATTGAGAAATTAAGGTGCATGATTTTGGTAATCACAATTAAGAAAATAATAACAGGTTTGGGAACACAAACGTCAGCTTGATGAATAGTCAATTATATGACATTTAAAGGGAAACATGAAACTTCTACTTCTCTTCATTTTTTCTTTGTATTTTAAAGAAATGCAATGTAAAAATGCAAAACCCAAAGCCAAAATTGTGACTTAAAGCGGCCTTCATCTTTAACTTTTGTAGAAAAAACAAATGTGTATTGTTTCAAAATAAATATTTCAGTAATTTTATCTTGGAAAAAATGTCTCATATCACAATTAACCCTCCCTAAAACAGCGCCCGAGAGTGTGAAGTTATTTCTAGAAATAGAAGATTGTCTTATATATAGAGACAGCGGCCGGTAGAT